CTTCCGAGCCACGTTCTTTGCTCTCTGGTTCTCTTTCAAGCTCCCCGTGTGAGTCAAAGGGCATCTATCCCTTGCGGATTCGCTGGGAGTGGCTCCCGCGTCGCAGAGAATGTTCGCTACGAGGTAGGTAATCACCCTCCTGATCAAGTCACACTACGCATAGTACGCGACACGAAGACTCCGCGTCCTAACCACGTCTCAGCTTTGCGATAAGTCCATTTGTCACCGGCCTCGTCAACGGGGACGAACTTGAATCGGAACAAGTTCTCTACGGCCCGTATACCCATCTCGATTCCTGGCCGTGGACAGGTCCGGTCCCACTAAGCATGCCCTCACATGCATCGTCGTCGAAGAGAAAGTCCCGGGGCGGGTCACACCGTGACTCTACCGCCCCCCCATCAGGAGAAACTTCTGGTAGTCATCATCAGGGATACGTGGATCCCCAGGATTTAGTGCTACAACCCGGTGAATCCACCTATTATCCCACCGCCACAACAAATACTCTAGATCCCGCGATCTACACAGACAACCTCAACTTTCCTCTTTACACAAACGATCCTTTATCATTCAACTATAACCAGAACTATAACATCAATTTTGACAACAACGTTGGCGTGCCAGGAGTTGAAGCTAGTACCAGTACTGGCTACGCTGGGACTACGTAGTTTTCCCACTCCCAAGACACCCTCCCAAGTTCGTCAAACGTTTCTTATCCCGTCGAGTACGCTCCTTTAGCGCCTGCACCATTCCCTTATCCAGTTCCTTTCGACCCAGGTTTCCCAGACAGTATGGATCCGTCACTCCTCGGCACCGGCATGGAACAGCTTTCCATCCAGCAAAACACCGACCTCGCTCATTTCGGTCAGACTTCACTAGCTTCGGAGGAAGAAGAGTCCAGCACTGGACCATTCATTTGCGACCATTGCCCCAAGCAGTTCAACCGTAAATGTGACCTGACGTGAGTCAAGCCCTAGTCCGTCCAGACTTTGTGTCTGGATGCTTTCGACGCCGTGGCTAACCTCTGTGTTTTCTACTCGCAGGAAACACATTCGAAACCACAAGAGACCGATTGACTGTCCAGATTGCCCCCCCAACACATATCAGGGCAGTGCTCAGAACAAGGATCATTACCGCCACTACTGGTCCCATCACCCTACCAGAGCCAAGGAGTTGGGGTACCCCAAGGAGGAAGACAAGTGCCCGAACTGCGACTACAAGGGGCGCTCCGACAACGTCAAGCGCCATATCGATAAGAACAAGTGCAAGAGCAAGAAATGAAGAATAGCGCAAGGGTTCTGCTCCCTCTTGTGTTTGTTCCCGATATGGCTGGATGGGATGTGTCTTTTTGGTCTGGTTTCTTTCTCTCCTTACGCTGTCGTCGTTTTCAGTTTCTTCCCCCTATACGCGGGGCTCCATTCGTTTTTATATGACTCTCTTATATTATATCCCTTTTCCTTTTCCTTTTTGCAAGTTCGTCGTTTTGGCTTACCCCACTTTCGTTCAACAATGTCGCGCTGTTCATGCTAGGTATGCTTGTGTGTTTGGGAAATGCGGGTCTAGGTTGAACTAGTTGGATATTCGTTGCCGTATGGCAGGTCATTCGTTTTGCACCAGCACTACACAGAAGAAAAAATAAAACCCACTCTCTTTAAACTCTTTGAGGATCACTTAGTCCACACGGAGATAATCACCGTGCACTTTTCCTCGTTGTGATTCCTGCAGGCCAGAGATAGTACTACGTGGACGCTCTTTCCTGCTTTAGCAGCTCCATAGGTAATTATCTCGACAAGTTACAAAACTTCGGCAAAACAACCCACACAGCAGGGGGAAGAGCACTGCCATTCGAGGGCCTGATGAAATTTCCAGATTACCAATATTCGCGCCTTTTCTAAAAAGGGGACACCGATTCTACCTCAACTCAGGTACAGGTACTCCAATTTGCCGACCAAGAGCTAACGGACACACGTAATACCATCCCCTTCGCGAGCCCGAGTTCTCAGAAACAAACACCCCTGCTCAATGCTAGGAGCAGCACTGTCATTCTAGCAAACGGCATGGGACTATGCCATTAGACTTATTTTCCGCTGCCTTCCCAATCCGTGCGATTGTCTTCCCTCGCCTGCGCCTCTGCGTCTTTAGCCAGTGCGAACTCATAAATATCACTGTCACTATTTGATACACTGTTAGCTGTGAAGAAACAGAAAGGTGCTGATGTGACCGAGCAGACTTACAAGACAAAGGAGTCGACGAAATCCCTTCCCTGCGCGTCGCGGTTGACCCAGACAGCCACGCTCCGGTGGCCGACAGGGAAATCGCCCCAGCCGTTGGCATCGATGACGACCTCGCCGGGACACCAACACAGGAGATCGGTCCACCGCTCGCCGGCGTGACGTCGGCCGACGCACATGGACTTGGCCGCGTACTGCCACGCGTTCGTCATGACCACCGCCAGCCCGGCGCCGCCCGACCGCGACGCGTGTCCAAAGCGCGTGAAGCCGATGCAGTGCGGCTGGTCGAAGTAGTCCACCTGGGTGCCGTACGCCCAGAGCTGGCGGGCGAGCACCATCTTGGGCAGGATGGCGCCCCCAGACGTGGGAGGGATGAAGTTGCTGCTGAGGTCGTCTGGTTTGGGATGCTGGCCTATCGAACCATAGAGGTCTGAATAGAAGACACAGGGTAGACCGGCGTTGGCGCGGAGGAGGATCAGTGCGTAGGCCAGCGGGATGAAATATGGAGCTACGGGTGTCTGCTTTCTTGGTTAGACCATCTGCTGATTATAGTTACGGAACCGGGAGGGAGGTGCGCACCTCAAGCGACTGTCCTTCTTGCTGGAGAAGGTAAAGTCAGTACACTAGTCTAGCAAACATAGCCGTGGGAAGATGTTACTTACCGTGTCATGGTTGACAACAAATGTCTATAGGCTGTCAGAAACACATGCCATTACAAGTGATCCGGGGGGGCAAATCAGCTTACAACGGCATTCGACGGCTTCCACATGACGAGAGTGTCGTCGTAGATCCTGCGGAGATCAGAGTTCTCGGCCAGGGATATCTTGGAAAAGTTGGAGACAAGTTGGACATCGAAGAGGGAGATGCGGTTGTGCATGTACTCGATGTACTGAGCGAGGAACTCGGAATCCTCGCGCCAGTACTCCCCCACGACAAACCAGTCGCGGCCGACCGTCCTGTCGATATGCTGCATAAAGTCCCGCAGGAAGTCCCGAGAGTAATGCTTGATGGCGTCGACGCGCATCCCGCCCAGCTTCATCTGCGTGCCTAGCCACTCGGCCCAGTTGAACAGGTCTCGTCGCACTTCAGGATGCGCATGGTCGACATCGGCGAACATGCTGGCTTGTCTCTCAGCTCCAGAAACAACACAACACCCTGTTTTGTTTGCCAAGGAAGGTGGGCGTCATCTCTCACAGATAGTCATAGTTCCCCAGCTCTTCATCGACATCAGTGGCCCACTCTTTTCCCTCGAATTTCCACACCGCGTTCGTCCTCCGCTTGTTGTCGTAGTCGATGCCCGTGAAATGATTCTTGTTCCACTTCAGCGGGCTGTATGTGCTGCCTCGCCCTGGAAAGTTGTATCCCGTCCAGGCCTGGATCTCCTCTGCTTCCCCAATGGCCTTGGTTCGATCTATATCTAAGGGTCAGTACTGGTATCTATCAACCTTGAGTAACACAACCCCCTAGTTATTAGCGTAGCCATGTGGATGTGTATACCCACCCTTAGGGTCAATCCTTGTTGCAGTAACAGTCTCGACAAAGTCGGCCGCAGCCTTGTGGTTCAGCACAGCATCAAAGAGAATGCCAATTCCGTTCGCATTCGCCGTTTTGACGAGGTCGAGCAGCTCCTCCTTGGATCCCCATTTCGTATGCCTGGAGCCCTTCTGTTCGAACTCTCCGAGGTCATACAAGTCATAGATGTCGTACCCGTTCCCCTGGGCCCAGGCCGCTTTGCAAGCAGGCGGAATCCACATGCTCGTCACCCCGAGCGCCGCAAGATCGGGTGTGACCCTCGCGAGTCGCTTCCAGTGCTTGAAGTCAGCCGGCACATACCACTCGAAGCCCTGGACCATCGTTCGGTTTTCAGGACACGGCTGGTCGTCGGGGACTATGAGTGGGTTGGGCATCTTGGGCGGCACTGCGCGGGCCCGACTCGGGGATTGGCCTGTTACACCGTGACCCTCCTGAACAGACCCTGACTTGTTCGCAGCGGCGGCATCTCGGGCCGCAAAAAAAGCGCTCATTTCAGGAGACAATTATTTGCGGAAATGCCAAAAAAAAAAAAGGGCAAAGAACTCAGTTCAGCAGTGAATGACTTGTCCTCAAGTGCACTGCTCAAAAAACCGAGACTTGCTGGTGGCTTATACGTGGTCGCTTGTGAAGCGCTGTTCACCGCGGGCAGCTGAGGACGAAAGGCGGTGATTACGTGAGATCCTGCAGGGGCCTCCACGGAAATTGATAGGTACCTATAAAACTGACTCGGTTTAAACATAAGGTATGGGAGGGAGCGCGATGCTCTTGTTAGTTCCTTTCCAGAAAAATAAATAAAAGCAAAGAGCAAAAGTCAATGATAGTCTCTTTGAAGGGGACGAAACTAAAACTATACTGAAATTCAGTCCGTTTCCCCACCCCCCATTTCAGTTCGTCTCACGGGATGGCATGCGTCGCTGGCTAGCGTATGCGCCCGTGCCAACTGTAACGGCTGAATTGAGGCTGGCGGCTGACGTGGCAGTGGTAATCCTCGCTGTGGAAACAAAGAGAAAGAGGCCAGCTGTTAGCGGGGAAAGTTCGAATAGAAACTCTAGGTCTATAGGCGCACCTGGCTCAGTACAGCGCGATTCATTGGCAATTGAAGAAGTCCCCACGAAAAGCCTGGAAGTTTCTGGTTCCATTGGTTGGCAACTCGAAAATGCGGTTGGGATTGTTGGGCGCACACAAACTTTCCGCCGAGGCCTCCAGAGAGCAGAATGTTGGACAAAGACATCAGTTCAAGGCAACATGGCCGAGTGGTCTAAGGCGCCAGACTCAAGCTTCCAGCTTCTGAATTCAAAGTTCAGCGCATTCTGGTATCGCAAGATGCGTGGGTTCGAATCCCACTGTTGTCAAAAACTTTTTGACCTTTGCGCCAATCCCCATCACATAGCCAATAGTCGTGGTTCTTTTTATTCAATCGAAATGCTCATGATAAAAGTCTTTCGCAGTTGGAGGGATGCGAATAGTTAACGCTTTTTTATGCCTTTTCATAAGGTCAGGTACCTCGTCGCTAGGAGACATTATAAAGAGTCTACCACAACTCACGGCCGGGAATGGCCACTCAATTGAGTTGAGCTCTTTTATAGGATAAGGTATCTGTAGCAACTTAGTCTTCACTTAGACACCCTTGAACTCTAATTGAGGTGGAATCACCGCTTGCGATTATCGAGTTCCGTCCACAATGCACGTACGTGACAACGGCGTATACTTGGTTTTCTTAGACTCAGGGGGCTTGGCCAATACCAAGTAGTAGCGGTAGTGCATCAGTCTAAACACCTCCGCCATTGAGTCGTCTTGACTGTACCGATTCGGACTCACATTGCTACGCTGTATCCACCATCTGCGGCACCCTGATATAACACTTCTACGTAGACAATCAATGCAGCTCAGGTCGTTTTATCACGAACTTATTGTGATTACTGTTTAAAAATTGAATATCAAATGTCCCCGGTCTACCTAAGGTACCTGTACCTATGTACCGTAGTGGGAAAATGAGCCAGGCGCAAGCTGCTGATTCTTGAATCAGCCCTTAATTTATACTTCAGCGCCTACCAGGAATCAGCAGCTGCTAACCTTACCAGTTTTATCATTTAATGGCCGCCATTCCAGTTGTCGGGCAGTGCCATAAGTTTCCTCGCCAAAACTTCAAACGCTCCTTCCCAAGATTGGATATCTACACCTCCTACATAACCAGGAAAGAACGACGTCCCTTCCATATATTTAAAGATGACCAAGTGGTCGAGCGGTTAAGTGATCACGCTGTTTGTTGCAGTCCTCCGGTTCAATCCAAGTTAACGCGCTCTCGCAGAACACTTTTATGAGCGCCGTACTAACTGTATGATAGGTCCTCCAGCCTGTAGTAGCCAGAGCTCTTTACCTCCGTGCATCTAATTTGATCACGCGGTCACTTTTTTTTCTTCGCACGGTAGGTTTCTTGTTTTTCCCATCTTCTTCGCTATTTCTCGCCTTCTTGATACCATCCCTGCCGCCGTTTCATTTTCCACGCAGAATGCCACGTGAGTCAAGTTTTTTCGTAATTTTCTTGGAACTGACCTACGTGGTCAGTCAACCGTCGTGCTGCAGCTGAGAGAAACGTCACAACCCATTGCAATCGTGCCATCTCCAGACAAAAGGCTCTGACTTACTCCGGATAACGCGGGACGATGCTGATCATTACCTGTTTCGCTCTACGGAGGTAGCATTACGCAAAATTGCAGGTCAACATAGGAGGGTAGTGCTACCCATTCAAAGGACCTCGTCCCAAAATTTTGTCGAACTGGATTGCGACTGCAGTCCATCCTTAATCTGCCATGACGGCAGAATGTCGCTTTCAGGTGCTCGACCTAGGTAGTTGTCACGGAAGAAACGTGAAGTCGGGAATTTTAGTAAGATAAGGTCTGACGAGCATCCGAATTCCGGATTCTCATGGTATTAGTACCCGTAAACAGTAAAGCTCTAGTCACATCCTGATCGACTCAATGATACGCTCATTATACCATGTCCATGCGAACCACAACCACGGGATGCGGGGTGGGATAAGCAAATTGCACGCGATGGATATTACTGCCGTCAATTTCCTACAGAGATCAAGTGCGTGTCGCCATGGTTCGCTTCCTGGTCCGATTAATCGCACCCTGGGAGTCGATACCACATCGCTCGCAAAATGAGCCCCAGAAAACACAACCGTCCATGCAGCTGGGCGAAAATTATTTCTGGTTGACTGACATCATACTTGCTGTAGCTTCGACTCGCTACCATACGGGTCGTTCGTTACCGCATTGACCACTGATTAAAACAGGGATACGGGGAAATTTCGACCGGCACGTACACCGCCCGAGTGCTGCTATCGTGACTTGCAGAGAGCTACACTGCATCACGATGCCAAGGGAATGCGGGAAAAATATCGAAGCACGGGACGGCACGCAACCGGAATGTCTTGGCAGGGCCTTGGCCATTCCACTTCGCGCCGACGATCACAATCCTGGATCGTACCAGGATCCACTTGACAGTTGAAGAAAGTTGATATTTAACTTTGACTTCGAGCTTCAACTCGATTCTCAGAATGACCGATGTAGACGAGGGAAAGTTAGCTGCCAGAGGCCCAGACTTCGGAGACTGGATACAGCCAGGCCGACTCTAGCCCAAGATAAATCCTCTCTTGCACTGAGTCATGCGGTCATTTACACTACGGACCTTGGCCGCCGCTGCCGCGTTCATCACCCAGGCGACAGTGGGTAGCTGCAGCGATGTCTGCGATACTATTGAGTCTACGACCAACATCGACGTGTTGAGGCCTCTGTCACTTGGCTACCAGACCGAGCAGGCAGCTTATTGGTCTACGGGTGCCAGCTTGATGCAGCCGAGTTGCATACTCACCCCCACGACTGCCAATGAAGTCTCGGTTATCGTCAAGGCTCTGCTTAACTCGACTGAGCGGTTTGCCATCAAGTCCGGCGGACACAATCCCAACAACAACTTCTCTAGTATCCAGGGCGGTCCGCTGATCTCAACATCACACCTTAACGAGGTAACCCTTGACACGGCGTCTCAGACTGTCCGGATTGGTCCCGGCAACAGATGGGACGACGTCTCTGCTGCTTTGGACGGGACGGGTTATACAGCGGTTGGAGGGAGGATCGGCAATGTTGGTGTCGGTGGGCTCCTGCTTGGCGGTACGTGTCTGTTCCCGTTTCCATCCAGTAATTAATCCTCAGGCTCTGACAAGATGCAAGGGGGACTCAGCTTCCTGTCAACACAGTACGGCTGGGCCGCCAACAACGTCGTGGCATTTGAGCTTGTTCTCGCTAACGCCAGCATCGTCACCGTCAGTCAGCAGTCCCATCCTGATCTGTTCATTGCCCTCAAAGGCGGCGGCAACAACTTTGGCATCGTCACGGCCTTTACGGTGCGCGCACATCCGCAGGGCCAAGTCTGGGGTGGCAACCTGTTCTTCGCCGCCACCGACACGACCAACACGGCTCTCCTGGCCGCAGCCCGCGACTTTACGCAGTACTACCCCGACCCGAAGGCGGCCATAATCGTCACCGCCGAGATGACAGCCGTCGGCACGGTCGACTCCTGGATCATGTTTCTGTTCTACGACGGGCCCACGCCGCCCCCTGGCGTTTTTGACAACTTCACGGGCGCCGCTGGCGTGACGCCGTTGACGAACACGTGCAAAACGCAGAGCTACAATGACTTCGTGACCGCCAACAACTGGGCCGTCGTCAAGGGGAACGTGTACACCATCGGCACGGAGACGATGCCCTTGCCAAAGGTGGGATCCAGGTCCGCGGCAGCCGCAGGGTTGGAGGTGTTGGAGTCGATCCACAGCCACTGGAGGAATGTCAGCGAAAGCGTGCTGCTGGTGCCCGGCGTGATATCCAGCATCGCCTACCAGCCGTTCCCGCGCCGCTTTGCCCGGCTGGCGCGGTCCATGGGCGGTGATCTCTACGACTTTGACGACGACGTCGATCGCATCATCCTGGAGTTCGACTACAGCTTCACGCTCCCGTCGGACTTTTCGACGATTGACCAGGCGGTGCAGGACACGTACGGCGGGTTCCGCGACCGCGTTGTGGCCTACACGCGGCAGGGGGTGCTGCCGAGCGCGTATCTGCCGCTGTTCCAGAACGACGGGTACTTTAGACAGGACTACTTTGGGCGGCTTCGCGCGGACAGGGGGCAGTTGGCAGCGCGGGTGAGAGATTCGGTAGATCCAAACGGGTTGTGGACAGATAGGACGGGGGGATTCAAGATTTAATAGTAGTTTGCACGGTAACACAGCAAAAAGTTCAAAAAGGAAATAGTTCAGCACGATCCGAAACCTAATGGGCGACCCCGGAATCGAACCGGGGTTTGTTCGGATGTCGTAATCGATTTTAAACCACAACGAACCGTCCTAACCACTAGACTAGTCACCCTTTATCCGTATCAGATTACGTAGTGTGTGTGGCTAGTGGATAACTCTGGATCATATCGCGCATGCTACTCCTTCTGAACGTTTTGGGACTGCAATCTACCTAGCCTTTAGAGTCCGCCACGTAACGGATGGCATATCCGGCTGATATGCAATTTCGTTTGTCTACATGTACATACAAGATTCACGCGTGGGTGGCAATTGTTACAAGATAAAGATATTAATAAGATGTTATCCTAGAATGAATGGCAGGTTACACACGCCGTGCATGAACGCTCAGAGATAGAAGTAGCAAAACGGCCCCGATGTGGTGCTCATGACCTCCCCGATGGTGGTAGACGGGCCGGCATAGCCCATATCAATGACATCGGTGAGCTGGGTGAGGGCCGACGGCGGGTCGTTTGCCCAGGTGACGTGTCCGTACGTGCCGGCGTTGAGGTCCGTCTGGCGCTTGGCGGGATCAATAGCCTGCCAGTATGTCCACATCCGGTCCATCATTCCGTGGTGGACCCAGAATGCTGGGTCGCCGGGGGACGTGAAAAGATCACCGCCGGGGTCTCCGCTGCAGGATAATTAGTCAGTCGCTCAAATCTTTCTGAGAACGGAGGATGATGTATGCGACACGTGACTTACCTGATGGTGTAGTGAATGCCACCGTGGGGACCAATCTCGACGGTGTACGGGACGCCCTCAGAGAGAAGTCTGTATTCGGTGATGTTGGGCTTCATGAGAAGGTCTACACGGCGCGCGCGTTAGTCTTCTTCACAGGCTCTAATCTTGGTGGCTGTCGAGCTTTGGTTTTTACGTACTCAAGACAGTCGTGTAGTTGGCGTATCTCGTGTTCATGGCCGGACCGACGTCTCTCTTGAGGCCGCGAGGGTTGTAGCCGAGACCGCCATCCGGACCGGCAGCCGTGCCCACCAAACCACCGACGGGACCCAGGTTGACGGTCATGTTGGCGAAGGGGCCGGTGGTGACATAGCCGCCTCCCACACCCGCGGGCAGCTGTATTGGGTCACCGCCGACGCCCGCCGGAGGCGTGATAACGGGGCCGTCATGCGGGATGTACTCTCCGTTTCCTCCCAAGCTGTAGGGATCGCCGTTGAAGATGGGCGAATTCTGAGGCGCAGAGGCGTACCTTGGCCAGTCCCAGTACTTTGGTATTATTGCATCAAAGGTTAGCCTCTGTCCAGAGCTATCAAAAGAATTCGGGATATGAATAAGAGTCTCCTTACAGGCTGGTATCCGGTGTAGCCGCACTCGTCCCGGAGAGCCTTCTCGTAGGTGTACACAAACCAACGGTGCCAGGGCATGAAATTGCCCGTGTAGTGGATCGTCAAGGTCTGCTGGATATGCGTCACGACGAAGTCGTCGAACTGTGTTCACATGGCATCAGTATGATAAGTCCATCAGTCTTATCAGGAACTGCACAAATGGGAGCAACTGACTCGTGATCGCGCACCAGACGACACATTGGCTGGCGTTCTTGCCGGCAGGTTCTGGAGGCACTTGACTGCGTTGACGTACGCAAGTCTATCCGCCTGGGAGAGCGAGCCACTTCAACATGTTAGCCACTATCTTCGGCTCTCCATTGAGCTCGCTGAAATCCTGGACTTACTATTCCCGGCGGAAAACAATGTTCCGCGCAGTGCAGCTCGGCGTCTGGCCGCGCTTCCGCAGCTTTGCCTCTGTCGAGTTGAGTGACTGGAGGACTTGCTGCTGAATGGCTGCAGTGAGGTTGTTGTATTGGGCCTGTGCATCATCAACGTCTCCGTCGCGGACGTGAATTGGCAGTGGCTGGAGAGGGGAAGGTGCAGCCAAAGCCACTGGAGCCAAGGCTGCCAGTACGGCCGCAGTGGCGATCGATGCGACCTTCATATTTGACCGACAGTGCCCAGATCTGCAGAAGACTTGAAAGACACGAGGAGGGTAGCGAGGAAGGATGATCGATCTCTTGTCTGCATGCGACACCGACTACTTTAACGGGCCATTGGCCCCTGTAAAGGGGAGACCTCTATCCCGAGTCCGGGCAAGGGCATCGCGACTAATGAAATAGGGGATCCTTTGGTTCGATATAGGGTTGCTTTGAAATGCATGCGGAGCGCATGCGGTGTCGCGCCGACAGAGTGGTCTCGGCTGTTTACAGACGTGCTATCGATTGGGACAGGCCCGAGAGCCGGGAGACCTTTCTACTTTCAATCGCCCGCTCAATTGCCGTGGCGGGGATTCCAGGTACTATTGCATGCCTTACCGAACGCGGGCTTGTCGTCCGTGATAACTCTGAGATTGCCCAATGATTATATAATAATACGCATGCAAAATGCATACATGGGTTCCTTAGCTATTTCGAAGTTCGTAGAACACTCTGAAACAGTTCCTTGAGGTCTTGCGCCTGATAAGGCGGATCTAAGCGAACCCTTAAGATGGAAGTACAGCTCAGTTTGTTCCACTACGGAGAATTAGACCCGTCCTTCTTGTATATCTGATCCATACCTACCTATGACAGCTGGATCATAGACTCGCGACATTTTAGAACATCGATCAGCTCGAGCTTTCGCATCTTCAGTCATGTCCGGAATCAGTACCGGCAAAATTCAGAATTACGGGTATGGAATGGAGATGTCAAGGATGGCGATCCTTGTCTGTGCCTGCATTTCAGCTTGGGATTCTCGGCAATTCGCTCCAATGCGGCGCATCTGGGGCCAATACGACTCTACAACGCGGCCTTTCCCCTTCGACGACCGGGTGACAAAACTACAACCGCAGGATGAACTATGGAAACAGTTCGCTTATGATTGCATGGAATGGGTTAAGTCGTCTCAATGGCTGAAATCATCAGAACGGATAGGTAATTCCAAGACCGTCTTCTGGGGTCTTGCCCATGGATGTTGGTACCTATCTTTGATAGCGACATAATGTGGCGTTTGTTGCGGTTTTCATTGCGAAGACCTCCCAACTCTGAGCAGGGTTTTCATCCACAGGTGCGGAACTATGAGCTGCCTTGAGAACCACCAATCATTGGCACCTCCGTGTAGGAAGAATGATCTTCATGGCGAGGATCTCTTGACTTGACAAGTTCAGCTCCTTCTTTAAGGTGCTTAGGTGCTGTGCCTTGCATGCAGATCTCGACGACGATCCATCGCCATCTCCAGGCACCTCATGTTTGCAGATCGATTGGATGGTGCTGACAGATGAACTTCTGTCAAGCAGCGCTCCACGTGCCAACCACTCCTTGAAGACTGAGGTTCGGATGGAAAGCTCGGCAGAAGCATGCCGAAAGGATTCCAGTTCGCCCAATACCAAGTTTCTACGTAGTAGCTTCCTATTCACCGTCACGGCGATACTAATCGCGCAAGTTCGTTCGGTTAAGTTCCGGGACCCACCGCAGCGGTTCTTGGTCCTTGCAAATCACTTCTGTTATGGGAACCCTGCATTAGTAGCCAACCGGGTTTTTGCCGGAAAACGGTCTTAGCATAGAAGAAACTGACCGGGTTTTTTTGGGAGAATTCTTCCAATTTGATGAAACGTGGCGGCCATTGCGGGCCCCTTGGAGGTGCGCTTGCTTAGTATGGAAGGTAATTCAAGAGACTGTTACTATGGACACGGGGTGCTGTCATAACAACACATGATTTCTAGTGAATTCCCTTGGAGGTGAGACACCGAGTGAAACTATTGCCAAAAATACTTAGCTTCTCCGAGTTGCGCTTTCAAAGGTGTTAGACAATACCGGTATGTCTGTCAGTTTTCTCTCAGTATAAGGGGTTCTAGTTGATTTCTCAGCCGAGCGTACTTTTCAACGGTGCACGCTCTTAAGTGTTGACCAGCAGAAAATCAAGAACAAACTAAATACCGAGAAGAAATCCACAGCACCTGTAGTTGTGTTGTGTGGAAAAGAGGCGTTGTTGAGATGGATTACAAAGAAGTCATGCACCCCTCTTGTCATTGGACCAGGCTAACAAGCAAACCAATCGGAGAATCTTCTCGGGGATCTTCTCGGGGGCCGCCATGGAAAAGATGTTGCCTGTTCCATTCGGTCTCACAAACTAGTTCTCTTCAAGGGTTTCATCACGCAAATATAGCTAGGATTATCCATGCACCTACCCTGTTCTTGCGTCTAGCGAGCCTCTCTTTTCAGACTAACACTCAATTCCTAACCTTCCCCGGCACGATAGCAGGTTTCGTTATGCAACCTTTTCTTGGGTACCTGAATTATGCGTGAATGTGGTAAAGCTGCTGTTCCTTCGGTCTGATCCATGATGTAACGCCAATGCGAAGCGGATGGTGGCTTGGGATGCTCCGTTGCCATTCGTCTGTCGAGAAATGCCATCGCAGCGGAGACAAGCTGAATGGCCTCAAGATAAAGAACCACTGTCCTATGTTCCGGGCCCCGCCCCGAGCCAACACCTGAATTCCGCAGAGCCAGCCGTACCCTCGATCAGTCCATCACTAACGACCGTGTCGTTTTCACAATGGCTGACACCCAGCCTCTCCCGCCGGACGAGAACAGAGGCCCCCAGATTCTCGCAATATGCGGTTCCATGGTAGGCCTCACGTTGGCACTGGTTCTCTTGCGCGTTTGGGTCAGAGTCAGGATGATTCGGTCTTTTGGCTGGGATGATATCTTCATGGTTGCCGCAATGGTAAGTGATCGTCAAAACCTGGGGTATTCCTGGGGTTGGGCACGTCTCGATGCTGACAATGACGTGCGCAGACCGTGCTCTTTGTCGAGATGATGATCATCATTCCCCAAGTCAATATCGGTGCGGGCCGACACTACCAATACATCGTCCCGGCTTCCAACATCGTCGCGGGTCTCCATCTCAACTTCGTCACGCAGCCACTGTGCCTCATCGCCCTGCTTTTGGCAAAGGTGAGCGTGGGGTTCTTCCTCTTGAGGATGGCCCCGTCGCCTCGGTTCAGGTACTTCATCATCGGGACAATTGTTTTCACGGTTCTCTCCGCGACAGGAAACATCCGTACGGGACTTCCGATAGGCCTCGGAAC